TATATATATTTAAAGAGCTTAATTTGAAAGTGTTTTGAAGATGTATTATTAAAGCCCCAGGTAGCTTTACCTCCTATAACTGTAGTTTGAATGAAGTATTTTAGTGGTTTTGCTCCCAGTTTAGATTAATATACTCTTAGAAGTCAGTTGCTCTTGCCATACTGCTTGGTGGCCTACCTAATGTAGGTTCATTATGTGTAGCTATCGTAATGTGTGCTACAGTTCTTTAGCTTTGCATTCACTTAATCATAAAATGTGTTTATTCCAAAGAAATGTCCTGTGGTGTTTGCTTGGCTTGTGTTTTGTTTGTTTGTTTTTTGTCTGCCTTAGAGGATGGGCTTGTTCCTATTAGTATATGAAATGTCATTTAGCTATAGTAATTACAGAAATAATGGTATCAGCTACACCAGACTGAAAAACTCCAAAGATTTTTCCTTTCAGTACCTGTTGCTACAGTGTATGTCTGCTCTATATTCCATTCTAACTTTCAGTCTCCTCTCAAGGGAAAGCAAGTCTAAAGTGGACAGCATGCTGTGAATATGGTGAATTACCTGTCACAGTGATTAGCTGAAGAATCAGTTTTAAGCTTTATTTTTTCTTTTGAACAGTAATGCTGCAGCCTTTTGACTATGACCCAAATGAGAAGAGTAAACACAAGTTCATGGTACAAACAACCTATGCACCACCAAATATTTCAGACTTGGAGGCAGTGGTAAGTAAAATGACTTATGTATATATATGGTGGGTTTTTTTTTTTCCCCCACTTTAAAAACTCAGGCTTAAGTGTAAATGAATTGTGGTTTTGCAGTTTTCTTTTGTAGAAGAATTGGGTTTTCTCTGGACAAGTATGACTTCCATATGTGATTCAGGGTTTTTAGTATTAAATACAAGCTTGGTTCTTAGAACTGCCTAGTGAACCGGTTGAATGGAAATAGTAGTGCATCTAAGGTAAGGTAAGGTCAGTTCAGTGGTAAAATTTTGGCATGTTGTACCTTCTGTGCAGCTAATCTGAAGGGATAAACCTTGTATTTGAAGGAATTGAATATATTTAAACAAGCCTGAAGGTGTATGAAATGGGTGTATTAGATCTGAAAGGTGTTTAGGAGAAACATTGAATGAGATTATAATGAATTACAACGTTTGGAAGACTAAGATAAATCTCTCTGCAAGATACCACATGACTGAACACAGCAAAACTGATAGGTTTATTTTCTGTTTTAATGGAATATGTTATAGATTCAGTTCTTAGGCAGGACTGGTCTGATGTAAGATCCAGAAAGAAGCTATTTAAGTTTATACTTGTTAGTTTGGAAGCAAGGACACCTGTTTCTGATGTTACAAGCTGGCAGCAATGGGAAAGAAGCCTTCAGGTGTCAGAACATATCCTTTAGAGTGTGTGTGGGCTCTCATAAGCATGTATATTAAGGTGGAAGGGAATGATGCACTGGCATCTGCCTCTGGAGGCTGTTTTAAGGAATGCCTGAATTTACATAGAAATGTTCAATGTTTATTCAAGGCAGAGGAGGAGAGGGGAAACAAATGATAAGAGATGAGGTTTTATAAATCACTGAAATCCACTAGACCTGCAAGTTTAGTCTCTGTCGCCTTATTGAAGGCAAAGATTACTGTGGCATCACTCTTCACTGGAAACAGTGGAAAGCCTGTTAGATTTTGTTAAACTTTTGAGATATGTAAGTAGAAAGTTAACATTTCTCTTCCTTGTTGGTCTGGTTTTACTTTTTATTAGTATGCTTGGATAGCTTTTCATTATGTGTGGTAAGCGAAGTGTAACTATTTGGTGGGGATATAAACTCCACTTTGGAAATACCTTTGAAGTAACTCAGTGTGTTCAAGTGTAGCATACTGAGAGACAGATCTTGCAGAAAATCAGTAAATGTAGTTAGAAGTTACTGTACAGCTAATGCCACTGAAAAAACCCAACAACAGAAGTGTGTTTGTGGGGAGAGGATGTTATGAAAAGCCTGGATATTCTAGTCTGTAAGATTCTAAGGTAACTTCAGAGGACCTAATGCTGGAAAAATTGCCACAAACTGCAGATCAGTCTCCAGGCCTAAAGATTTAAGGCAACTACGTGAAGTGTATGCTTTGAAAGCTAATTGTGCGTTAGAGAAAGTCCAGCATATTTCACATTTTAATTATTTAAATATTTTGGTAACCATTAGAATTTAAAATGTTTTTTATAAATGACTTTGAAAAATTCTCTAGGCCCAAATTGTAATGTGTTACGCAGTAAGAGGAGGAAGTGGTTAAAAATCTAAAATAGGGAGAACTATAGAAATCTACTCTGAAACTAAATACTGAGTTACTGAAAGGTGTCTTTCAATCTTTTGTTTAAAATTAGTGCTTCTAAGGTGGGATGTAAGGAGTACATGTACCGAGGAGTGGTAACTCTGTTCTTAAACTGACTCAGATGGTACTTATTCCTCATTGTGTGTTAAGAGATGCTGTTTGGTTGCCTCCCTGACCCCAAAAAACCTCTGGATCCATCCTTGCATTCAATTTACTCATTTCCATTTCCAGACTTAATTAGCCATTTCTAGCTTTCATTACTTCACAGTAGTCAAAGTGAATAAAAAAACCATTGTTTAGAAGCAAATCTGAAAATTGCAGCTGGGGTAAGGACAGTGTTCATCTGTACTAAGAGCAAGCTTATGAACTGTTTAAGTGTTTGCATGAGTGCAGCATGTTAAGTAACAATCTATATTAATTGTTATCTTAGTGGAAAGAAGCAAAGCCTGATGAGTTAATGGACTCCAAATTGAGATGCGTGTTTGAAATGCCCAATGAAAATGATAAACTGGTAAGTAAGGAACTATCATACACTGACTGGTAGGAACTCGGGAAAATCTGTTTTGAAATTTTTTAAACCTGTTTGATTTGTTGATTAAATGGATTGTAGGAATTTGTACTAAATGAGACAGAAAAGGTATTTAGTATATAACTTTTCAAGTATTCATAGGATCTTAGAACAGTCTAGGTTGAAAGGGACCTTGAGACACCATCTGGTCCAACCATCTTTTGTTGGAAAGGGAGCACCCTGTCCAACTGCATCTTAAAAGCCTCCAGCAATGGACATTAGTGCCAAAAATTATTTTGTTGTTATCAATTTGCTTAGGATTTTATTGCTGTTAGATTAGAAAAAGAGAATCTGCAATACTGCGTACAGTGAAAAGTGAATTGCATCATTTCATTTTAAAGTATTACATGTTTTTCAATTTTAAAAATCCTGTTTCTAATGCAGTTAAAGTAGAAAAGGAAGTATTAATTAGAAATTGCTTTGGGAATCCTAAATGCATTTTTTAAGGTAATGGTAAAGACAGATAATCGGACAAAAACCGAAAAAAAAAAAGCACATCTTTTATGCTCTTGCTTTCAGACAAAATCTATTCCAACTGTGTAGGAGATGACAGTTTCATTGTATACAGACTGAAGATGTCTGTGGTGCCTGATATTTGGAATAATAGTTAACTGTCAGTTACCTAGAGGTATTGAGGACTACATTCTTATGTATGAACTTTTTATTTACCCTCATACTTGAAATTCTCATTTATATAATCTTAATACTGTATATTCTGGGTTGTTTGGGGTGGTGGTTTTTTTTTTTACATTTTACTAATTTATTAAATTATTATTTTATTAGTTTAGTATTAGCATTGTAAATGAGAGTGCTAAAGTACGATGTTTGTAAACAACCTTATTCACTTTATGACCGTGACTTTTATTTTTAGTACTGTCCAGCTTTTATAGTAGTCTGTAAGGCATGTTGGGAGAAAGTAGCATGAATCCATACATTTAGAAACAGTCTCATTATTTACATACATAAAGGATCTTGGTGAAGGCTGCTAGCTGAGCAGTAGCTGTGTTTGCAACAGTTCTTTTAATACAGTTTTTGGACTGTAATGTAAAGATTTTTTTTTTTTCAGATGCAATGTCAGCATAACATTTTTGATGTACTTCCCCCTTTTTGGTAAAGGATAATTTATGAGATGCACCCTTTTATTTAGGTGTAAGCTGCCTAAGCCTGTGTTAAATGCTAAAACTGTAAAGGTTAAGCATTTATTATCAAGACACTTAATTGTCTACTTTCTGTGGTGTTGTTTTTTTTTTTTTTCTTTTTACCTGCTTACTAAATTACCTTTAGATATTAGAGAAATTACATTTGTTTTTAATTTTATAAACTGTATAATGTAGTGGATTATACAGAACGACTTCCTCTTGTACTTCCTTTAATGTGATATTTTCAGTGTTGACTGTGCATGGTATTTGTATTTTTCTGAGTAGCAGCATAGGGTTGCAAAACCCTGCTGCAGCAGGTGATTTAGTCCCTTAAACCTGGCAATGAGAAATCTCCCAAGTCCTGAGGGTAAGCCTCACCTGTCACTTCAGGATATACCTACATGAGGATACAGGTATTTTCCTCCAATCAGCAACAACTTTCTTCAGATGCCTGCCAGTCATAGCCATAAGATTGTCACAAAGAAACCAGTCAGTGAGGTCAAACAGCAGAAGGAGGGAGGTTTGTTTCAGAGAGATAAGTCTTAGGTCTGTAGTGAAGTTTCAGTTCTACTAAAGGAATTCAGGTCAGCTAGCAAACCAATTAAAAAAGCAACAGATCCTGATCTGCATCCTCATGGTACAGATATGTTGGTCCTTTTAAATCCAGTTAGGAGTACCTGTGTGCAGTAGCAGGTGCTGGCTCTTAGGCTGTGTATGGCTGCATTGCAAGAGATGTAAAATGCAAGTAGATGTTGTAGACCAAATTACTGCTACTTGCATAGGAACTAAATTCTTGCTTTTTTTTTTTTTTTAATTGCTGTGTTATCACATAGATGTGTTTACCTTCTAATAGGTTTTCAGTTACATTTAGTACTTTCGACTACTTTGGTTATGAAAGATGCAGTATGGTGGTTTTAATGATATAGCTGTGCAGCCAAGCAACTAGGAATACAGAAGCCTGAATCTGAGTATGAGCTGTTGGAGTGTATTGCCATATGAATGCTGTGTTTTCACAAATAGTAACCCAGCTATGTAGTTGAATCTGTTGTATTACTAATGTCTACTGAAGATTATTGCAGATTTTGAGCAGAGCTGTGGCAACTAGATTTTTCATTTTATTTTTGGCTTTTTTTTCACAGCTTTTTATGTGACTTTTCACTTGTATTGGAAATTAGTAATGTGTGTTTTAGAAATGCTATGAAACTTAAATTCGATGTATTTTCCATTTGTGTTTTATGCCGTCTTTTGGATGTCCACTGGGTCAGTTTTAAGCAGCTAAAGTATTAATTTTTGTCTCAGTAGCATGTAGTACCAACAGTGCAATCTTCTCTTGCTTTTTAATAGCTGAGCTAGTCAGAATTGAACTGTTAACAGAAGTCATGTTCAGATTACTGTAAATATAAGCTTCTTTGAACTATATTAGTAGCTGGATTGTTTCAGTTTTAAGATGTGGATGATTTTTCTCTAGGTAAGTAAAATTCTCAAGTCATTCTTAATGTTTGTAGAATGATATAGATGCAAGCAAACCCGCCCCAGTACTGAATACATCTAAGCAGGATGGACCGATGCCAAAACCACATAGTGTTTCACTTAATGATACCGAAACAAGGAAGCTAGTGGAGGAGTGCAAAAGACTTCAAGCAGAGGTTATGAAGCTGACGGATGAAAATCAGCACCTGAGAGTAAGTTCTGCTTCCATGTTTATGTTGTAGTGGTTTCAGTCCTCTTCATTGAAAGGTCTAGTTTTTAGTTAGGCTGGTAGATGTGTATTCCAGAAAGTAGATACAACTGTTAGAATGTCAAGATTTATTTGTAATACAATTTTACTGTCCTGTATATACTGTATACTTTGAATTTCTCAGTGATTGAGACTTTGTAGTTGTCCTGAATGAGATACTGAGATACGTAATCTTCTATTTAAGGTGGGTTTAGCTACTTGAAGTCTAAATCAGAGATACCGAATTAGTAGCTTTTAATAAAAGTGCATTATTATTCATTAAGAATGAGTAAATGAGATCCAAAGTGGTAACATTCTGTATCACAAATTGTTAGTGAACAAGAACAATGGTTTGGCCAGAGGAAGTAAGCAAAACCAACTTTCCAGTACTTTTATGTAAAGGTCCTATTCAGTAACCTGTGACTTGTCAATATGTGACTTTATGTGACTTTCTATATATTTGCTTTTGGGTATCTAACAATGTCATTGGCCTTAGTAGCCTGTTAACCATGAAATGCTGATGTCTCCAAATCTTTAATTCTGATATACTGGGGCATTTGGAGAAGCACTACACAAAGCAGATGTTTTTCTTTCACAATAAGGAATTATTGATATTCTAATACATAGTAAGTAAAAGCAGAATTCTTCATTGTGCATAGCAAGAATTTCAGAATCTTAACAAGAGCAGGGAGGAAGACTAGTGGATTACCTGTCCTTATTTGAAGTATTATGGTTTGTGATGTTCATCTTTTGGATTTTAGTGTGGTGTAAAGTGTGTGTGTGTGGTTTTTGTTTGTTTGTTTGTTTTTTTTAAATTTTATTTATTTAAATGTTAACTAGTAAACTTGATCTTTGAGTTCAGTTTTTACTATTGTAAAGAAGATGCATTCATAACCTTTTTAACATCTGTGTTTTCCACCCCCCTTCAGGATGAAGGCTTGAGGTTCAGAAAGGTAGCGCACTCGGATAAATCTGGATCACCCACAGCTTTGGCCCTCAGAGATAATGGCTCTAATTCTCTTCCTTCACTTCTTGTTGTAATTGCAGCCATTTTCATTGGATTCTTTCTAGGGAAGTTCATCTTGTAGAAAGAATGAGTGAGAGAAGCATGCAAAATGCAGCTTCCTTTTTTTTTTTTTCTTCTTCTTTTTTTTTTCTTTTTTTTTTTTTTTTTCTTGGCCAGAGAAAGGTTTGTTTACCTACCACTTCATTGGTAGTATGGCCCAAGTGGCCGTTTTTGTGTACAGCATCATAACAGGCTTTGCCTTTAACGATCTCGCACGGTTAGAAAACACAATCTTGAAAAGACAAACTGTTCAGCTACTGGACAAAATTGTACATTATGTCATCAATAGCAGGTGTCAGTTGCACAGTCAGTCCTTTATGAAAATTCATAAATAAAGAATTGTTCTTTCTTTCTGTGGTTTTAATAAGAATTCAAAAATTGTTCAGAGTCTTGTAAATGTTATTTTAATAATCCTTTAAAATTTTATCTGTTGCTGTTACCTCTTGCAAAATGATTTATTAGATTGCTAATCCCACTCATTCAGGAATACGACAAGAGGTATTCTGGGGAAAATGGTGCCTCTTACTGTGTAAATTTTCTCCTTACCTTACTTTGCTAATATCATGGCAGAATTTCTTTCTTATTCTTTGTGAGGCATTGTTGAGAGTTCTTCACCCTTACAATCTTGTCCCATAATATTTAACATTACAAAAGAAATAAAATTGTTAACAGATTTTTCTTCTGGGTAGCCTGTTTGTGTGTGTCGTACTTTTAGAAGGGATTCCTAACAATTCATTGTTCATGGTAATTTGCTACTTGTAACAAATGGCTATTTTGAAGTTTATTTGCTTAAGTCTTTGGCTTAGACTGTTGTAATTGGAGCTTGGGGGGTGGGGAAAAAGGTTTCCGTTCCATTTGTTTTAAAAAAATAAATTGTTTTCGGGCTGGTTTCAGCTGCAGAGAGGATGGTTATCAAGCTTGCTCTGGGACAGAATAATTTGTATATCCAGCAGGTACAAATACCAGACATGAATGTTTTCAATATAGCAACATTTTGCTTGGATTGTGCGGGAGTGTAATAATCAACCTTCTGTTCCATCTTTGGGTTTTCTGTGGGTCTTCCAGGAGTCAAAGTTATTCTTTGATTTTATAAGGGTACTCAATTCACTTATACTAACTTGCTCAGTTTGTGGTTCTGTTTTACCTGATACTCAAAAGTGCAAGTTGAATCATTCAGACACCCACAGTGAATTCCATGATTCAGAAGAGTTGATATTTGCTGAGTGAGCCTCAGTTGCTCACCTTTTGGAAACAAAAATCATTTTATGCAACTCTTGGCAGATCTACTTGTGTTAACAATGTACAGCTAAGTTTTAAAAGAATGCATTTGGGGAGGGGTCTGAATTGCTTCCCTGCACTTAATCTTATGTCTTGTCTCATCGCTGAATATGTCATAAAACCAAACAATAGTATTGGAACAAAATATTACCTGTACTTCTGACTTGGCATAATCCAATACAGGGAATTACTTGTAAACTTGAAAAATTGTGGAAGGGGTATACTCCTGTAAGCAAAATCGAGTATGCTCTTGGACAGCTTGACTTGATGTGGTGCAGCTAAGTGTGTTAGACCTTGGTATAAGCACACCTTATGTAGCTGAGAAAAATGTTTGGAGAAGATGTACATTATCTTGATTGCCTCTGATTTCTAGTGCTTTAAAAAAAACCAAAACAACAACAAAAAAACGATCCCCAAACTCTAATTACATCATACTCTGTCATTGGTGTCTGTGATAAACTTTTTTTGTGAAATCTTGCGTATATGCAAGGAAGATGATGAAGAAAATGCAAATACTGCTTATCTTTTCACTTACGCATGCAAGCACAGATGTTTTCAATTACTTGTTCCAGTGTCTGCATTCAAGTCTCCTTCCATCCCAGTGACTGGAAAAACTTATGTTAAGGTCTTGATTATTTTGGTTCCGCTGGTTCAGAATGGTGTAATTCTCCCAATCTTTTTTCTAACAGAACGTTGCCACATCAAATTTTCATAGCCTGTTCCAAGCTGATTACATGGAAAATAGTGAAAGCAGTAGTGTGCAGGATGTAGTTGGCTTCAGAAAGAGCAGTCATTCCTGCCTTGAAGGGAAAAGAGGGGAAAAAAAAAATCCTCTGGAAGATCTTAAGATGCTTACTAAGATGTTTACTGCATGATGTATGGAGGCTTTCAAGGGTAGCTAGCACTTTCAGGACTTGAGACCAGAAAAAGGAGTCACTGCTCAATGCAGCTGTCTTAGATTTTGATGTCTGGAAGCAGAAATAAGGTAAAAAAATGATAAAATCAGATTGAAGTACCTTTTTTTATAGATAACAAACAGGTGGTGGGAAAACTTGGTCGTGGTTTAAGTAATGTCTTCAAAGTGAAAAGTGTGCAGCGGTCTCGTAACCATTGTACTTATTGATGGTATAAGGAGACTGTGTTGGTTTCCAGTAATCCCTTCATAGCTGTATAAAAAATGTAATGCTGAAACTATTTTGCTCTCAGGAGTCACTTTGGATGAGATCAACTGTATTCAGTGAATTATGTAATATGGATTAAATGGTTTGTCTTTGTTCCTGAAATGGTTAGAACTTCTTGCTTTGTCTGCCTGCTTACTTCTGTATGTAAGCATGGGGGAATACAGTCTCTCCACTGCTTTCTATTGGTATGATCAGATGATGATGCCCATAAAGTTGTGTGAGGATAAATGCATATCTTCAGTTAAGTACGTGTTGTAGGTCACTCTTCTGATTTCTGAAAAGGGCAAGGTAGAACACGTACATGATATCAAAGTAGTATTTTAAAGTTTTTATAATGTAATCCTTTAAAAAAAAAGTAGTATGATGATTGGGGTGGGGGGAAAGCGTAGTAAAATGAAGATACAGCTTACGTAATAATTTGGGGCACCAAATTTAACCCACTTTTTGATATATATATATATCTATCTATTTTCAAAGTTCATTTAAGAAAAAGTTACTTGTATCAATGCACAAGTCACAAGTAACTTGTGCATTTCTATGCATTCTCTAAAAGCTGTTGATAAACACTATAGCCCAGGCTTGTATGTTGCTGCTGCTATGATTGAAGTTGATTTCTGTATAAGAAGCAATCAGACACTAATTTAAATTTCATTATCCTCTTGGGTGGAGGGACGGTGAAGGGAGGAGGTGGAAGGTGACATTTTGCCAAAGGAGAAGAGATGAAGTCAACAAGCAAAATTTATCTTTCAGGCCGCTTTCAAAGATATTAAAAGTTGAAATGTTAATAAACCATTAAAAATGTGGTAGTGTCCTTTCTATTTTTGAACTTCCCCCTGACTATGCGTTCTGTAGACTGCTGATACTGAATAGGTGTTTCTAGTTACACCTTGCAGGCGGTGTAACTGCCCTGCTTCTAGGTACTGCCAGTAAATAGCATGTAGCTGCTTTGTATGAAGATTCAGTGTTGGAGTGAAGAGCAGGTGCCTGAATCCAGGCAACGCTGAGGATACTGTTGGTTTATCAGATTGATAGTAGTTGTCGTGACAAAGAATTTTCCTTGTTCACATTTGGAGTCTGTTGGTATTTATAGTTGAACTGACTTGCCAGGGCAAACAGTTGCTTCAGTCTGTGCCAAAAGGTGGAACAAGAGCTACGCAGTTACAGAGCAACTCCAGTAAACATTTACCTTAACAATGAAATGCCCTCCTCTGTGTGGGATTGAAATGTTGTAGCCTGTCTGTTCAGCCACTTTGTTGTGAACATAAGTTTGCTGCTTTGCTTTCTGCACTGGTTCCTGTTGGAATGGCTTGGGCAGCGTGTCCTGAAAGGCACATCTGTGTGTAGCACTGGCCACTGCTGCCAGGGAGGCTTCATCTTTGCTGATTGTGAGCTGCTGTGGTAGCTTAAATGTTGAACTAAGGGGGGAGCTAAATACAGGAGTCGTTTTTCACGAGGGTTAGTTCTTGTAGGAGGGACTGAATCTAACAACGATTGAATGAGACCAATTTCTTTATTTCCTGTCTAAATTTCTTTTACAGGGGCACTCAAATAATGTAACCAAGTATATGATTGAAGTTGGTCTGTTGTGCTGTTTTTCAGTACAGGTTGTGTGTGTTTAAGATTGCTGTCTGACAGGGCTGCATAAGCAGGGGTGTTGTCATCTTTGTTTGCCCTTTAAGTGACAAATGGATATGTAGAAATGAGGTCTTGTGCAAAAGCAAAATAATTGAGTCTTATCCTTTATCTGGCTTCCTCATTACTGCTAGATGGTAAGGTCAGTGCCTGTTCCTCATTTACTGGGACAAGGGTTTATATATTTGCAGGTGACCTGGATCTGGAAACTGCTTTACATGAAATCCATTGTTTCATCCCCTACAAATTATGTTATAACTACATCGTGGAATAAGCATCTCCCACCATTACAGTGCCATTTTATTTAAAGCTTGGTACCAGTTTATGTAATGTTGATAACACTGTCAGCAGGGTATTGAATCCCTGTGTCCAGTAGAGCCAATGTCAGTCAACTGCCAGACAGACCTGTCACTGGCCAAGGCTGAGCCCACCATTGATGGTGGTAGCACCTCTGGGATAACAGACTTAAGAAGTGGGAAAAACCTGCATAACAGCAACTGCAGCCGGAGGGAAGGGTGAGAATGTGTGAGAACAGCCCTGCAGACGCCCAGGTCAGTGTAGAAGGAAGGCAGGACGTGCTCCAGGTGCCAAAGCAGAGATTCCTCTGCAGTCTGTGGTGCAGAACATAGTGGGACATGCTGTGCCTCTGCAGCTCATGGAGGTCCACGATGGGGCAGATACCCACCTGCAGCCTGTGGAGGACCCCATGCCAGAGCAGGGGGATGCCTGAAGAAGGCTGTGACAGGGCTGTGGAAGCCCAGAATGGAGCAGGTTTGCTGGCAGGACTTGTGGCCCCATGGGAGACCTATGCTGGAGCAGTCTGTTCCTGATGAAGGCCTGCACCCTGTGGAAGGGACCCACGCTGGAGCAGTTGGTGAAGAACTGTACCCATGGGAAGCACTCATGCTGGAGAAGTTCATGGAGGACTTTCTGCTGTGGGAGGGACCCTGTACTGGAGCAGAGGAAGAGTGTGAGGAGCCCTCCCTCTAGGGAGGAAGGAGTGGAAGAAATGTGTGATGCACTGACCACAAACCCTATTCCCTGTCCCCCTGTGCTGCTGGGGCGGGAGGAGGTAGAGAATTTGGGAGTGTCATTAGGAAGAAGGGGATAGTGGGAGGAAGGTGTTATAAGATTGGTTTTTATTTTTCTCAGTACCTGGCACTGATTTGGTAATAAATTAATTTCCCCAAGTTGAGTCTGGTTTGCCTGGGATGGTAATTGGTGGGTGATCTCTCCCTGTCCTTTTCTCGACCCACAAGTCTTTCATTCTATTTTCTCTTCCCTGTCCAGTTGAGAAAGGGGAGTGATAGAGCAGCTTTGATGGGCTCCTGGTGTCCAGCCAGGGTTAACCCACCACAGTTGCTTTACCCACGGGAGTGGCAAAATATTTTTCCATTGCTGCTTTGATAGTCCAAGTACAGATGATACAGACAGCTACACTCTGACTTTCAGAGGCAGTTCTTCAGAAGAGCCAAATAATTCTTTCTTCAAAACCTAAGCATGTTTGACTCCTGCAAGTGAAAGTGCTCCAGCAATAGCTTGCCAGAAGTTAAATCCACTTGCGTGTTTTCAGTCAAAATGAGTAAGTGCTTTGCTGTTACTACTGCTTTTCAGATTGCAGTACACTTCTGCACTGGTATGAGGAATATTAATGAGAATCTAAATTACAAAGATGTAGCTCTGTTTCTTAATGGTTGAGAGGCATTGCTTTATATTGTTATGTAGGACAGTCTGTAG